TCTTTAATAAATACAAATACTTTCCAGTTGGAGTTTGCCAAAAGGCACCTAAAGGACTCTCAGACCATGAGAAACAAGATTCTCTGGTCTGATGAAACCAAGATTGAACTCTTTGGCCTGAATGCCAAGTGTCACATCTGGAGGAAACCAGGCACCGTTCATCACCTGGCCAATACCATCCCTACGGTGACGCATGTGGGTGGCAGCATCATGCTGTGGGGATGTTTTTCAGCGGCAGGGACTGGGAGACTAGTCAGGATCGAAGGAAAGATGAACAGAGCAAAATACAGAGAGATCATTCATGAAAATCTGCTCCAGAGTTCTCAGGACCTCAGACTGGGGTGAAGGTTCACCTTCCAACAGGACAACGACCCTAAGCACACAGCCAAGACAACACAGGAGTGGCTTCAGGACAAGTCTCTGAATGTCCTTGAGTGGCCCAGCCAGAGCCCGGACTTGAACCCAATCGAACATCTCTGGAGAGACCTGAAAATAGCTGTGCAATGACGCTCCCCATCCAACCTGACAGAGCTTGAGAGGATCTGCAGAAAATAATGGTAGAAACTCCCCAAATACAGGTGTGCCAAGCTTGTAGCGTTATACCCAAGAAGACTTGAGGCTGTAATTGCTGCCGAAGGTGCTTCAACAAAGTACTGAGTAAAGTGTCTGAATACTTATGTACAGTGTATTCGGAAAGTATTCAGACCCCTTGACTTTTTTCACATTTTGTTACGTTACAGCTTTATTCTAAAATTGATTAAATATTTATTTCCCCTCATCAATCTACACACAATACCTCATAATGACAAAGCAAAAATATGTTTTTAGAAATTTTAGCAAATTTATTAGAAATAAAAAATTGATATCATATGTCATGACTTCCCCTCATGGGCTGAGGATCAAAGATGCCGGCTAGGTAAAGGTTTGAACACCCCCTTTCCTGGGGGTTAGTTTTATGACCGGTCGTAAATTCCTTGCAGAAACTTTCTTTTCCGTGCCATGCAGTATTGGGAGAGGGAATTTCCCTGTGAGATAAAGGAAGTCTTCCCGCCAAGACTCCAACATCCAAAAGTGGATAATGAAACAATATTCCTACTTAAAAGAATGTGGGAAATGGTCGGTGGTGACTTAAAAAACAATCATGTCAAATTCGTTACTATGTTGTGATGTCATTAAAGACGGTGGAACAACATAACTGTATCTCTGGGGGTGTACACTTCCCAGTTATGAGGTTTGCATCTAATTGTTGTATAAAACGATTTATTAAGTATAATAACACTTTTGTGAAGATAACAATGTGATTTTAGCATTCTAGATGATGATTGTTTTCAATATTGATTTGTTCTCAGTCAGTGGCCACGCCCAGATGAGCACAAACATGATGGAAAGCCCCTTTTACCCTGAGTGCATAAAAAGCCTTGTGATGAAATTCACACCGGACCAGGAAGCCCATGGCTTAAAATGGTTGATACTCTACAAGACCAGCAGACGTGAAGCGTGAGCTAAACGTTACAAAATGGTTTATAACTACAACTCCATTACCAAAGGAAGACCAAGCATACTACGGTATCAAAAAAATTATAAAAATGGCACAGAAATGTAAAAGCGGTAATTTCCCGGAAAAATAATTGTGCACGTCAATGACCCGCGCTCAATCAGTTTCAGCTAGCAGCTCGTTTTTCCTGCAGTCAGAGCATCACTATTTTTATGAATAAAACAACATGTCTAAGAAACATGTCAAAAAAGAAAGTAAGGCTATATCTCGAGAGTTATCTTAACTTCAGTTTTATTGAAGGACAGGACAGGACTCGGCCAGAATGTGTCATTTGTGGCGAGAAGCTAGCTAATGACAGCATGAAGCCAAGCAAAATGCAACGACACCAGGAAACAAAACACCAGGAGACTATTGGTGAAGGTCAGGATTTTGTTGAGAGGAAGAAGCAGTTGGCAATATCAAAAAGATCCACAGACATAAGAAAAGCATTTGAAAGAGCAGGCAGTGATTTACACAGAGCCACAGAGGCATTATTTGAGTGTTCGCTATTAATTGCCAAGGCTAAAAAGCCGCACAATATTGGAGAGCAGCTAATCAAACCCGCCTGCCTGAAAATTGTAGAGAGGCTGTGTGGCCCACAGGTGGTGGATAAAGTGAGAACCGTCCCACTCTCTGACAACATTGTCAAAGACAGAATTGATCAAATGGCTGGATATTGTCAAAACCAGCTGCACGTGAAGCTTAGGAATGTTCCCTTTGCTATTCAGTTAGATGAAACAACAACAGTGTCAGACAAATCCGTGCTCATCGTTTAAATGCAATATATTGACGGTGATGACTTGAAACAAGACATTCTTATGTCTACCAATCTAGCCACAACAACAACAGGCCAATATATTTTTTATAGCTATGGACTCATATCTCTCGTCCAAAAATCTGCCCTACGAGAATATTGTTGCATGCTGCACTGATGGGGCTGCAGCGTTGATAGGCAAAAACAAGGGATTTAACAGCCGATTGAAGGAAAAAGCCCCGGTGTGTGCAATTTTCCACTGCATGCTACATCGCCAAGCATTGGCCAGTAAAAAACTTTCGTAAGACCTCAGTAACACCCTGCCAACTGTTGTTAAAGTTGTAAACTTCATTAAGGCTCGCCCTACTAACAAGAGAGTGTTTGCCCAGCTGTGTGAGGATGAAGCGCATCAAACACTGCTGTAACACCCAGAGGTACGCTGGTTGTCACGTGGACAAGTGCTTGTGCATTTTATGGAACTGCAGGAAAAAATTAAGGAATTCTTACAAGATCACAATCGACCACTGTATGAACAGCTGACTGATGCGTTTTGGATCAAAACTGCATACCTAGCATATACATTCACTCTCTACAATGAGACAAACAAGCGGATGCAGGGTCCTGAATCAAACATCATGCAGTGCAAATACGCTCTCTGCGCTTTTGTGCGGAAACTGGAGTACAGAGTTGGAAAAATGTCAAAAGGAGAGCTACAACAATTTCCACTCCTGATGAAATAGTTTGGTGGCACATGAACATGCTTTGGGAGGAAATTAAATCCTGTTTTGCTGATGTTGACAAATACTTTTCAAAGGAATCGTGGGTGATGGACCCTTACATTTGCAGTCTCGAGGACGTGGAATACCTCGGATGTGAAGATGAGCTTGCTGACCTTCAAGCCGATTCTGTGTCAAATAAATATTTCCACGAGAATGGATACAAAAAGTTTTGGATTGTCAAAGGACACGCTGTTGCACCCAGACTGGCCAAACACGGATTATTCTACCATTCAGCATTACCTTCCTGTCTGTGACGGCCTTCAGCGTGCTTGTAAGAATAAAAACAAAAGCCTGTAACAGGCTCGATGTCAACCAGGAATTTAGGCTGGCTGTCACTAGCATCACACCTGACATCCCATCCCTGGTCAGAGGTATGCAGGTCCAAGGTGGCCATTCGTTTTTTAAGGAAGGAAAAAGTTATTGATTGTAACTTACTGTTATTGTTACTTATTGTTATTTTTCATAACACATACATTATAGCTGTGTCAAAACCAGTGTTCACATGATGTGCATGTGTGTATGCAACTGCCCCGTTTCAGTTAATTGGTCTGAGGGAGATCTAGGACAGCGCTATATAGGTGCTGTTAATCACTTATTACGCTGATAATGAATCATTATTATTATTTTGGTAACAATGTGTGTGTATAGGCCTACAGTTAATTATACACAAAGATAACCAGGGCAAACCAAAGAGAAAAGGAAAGAAAAACTATAATTGATGTACATTTTTGGCAATAAAGATTTGGAATGAATCACTTTATTATTTTGGTGTGTGTTTGTGGGGGGGGGGGAGCTCAGCTTTTCTTAGATACAAGTAGGGGGGTCTTCAAGGAAAAAAGGTTGGGAACCAATGGTCTAGAGAACTTTCACTAAAGACAAGAAAGGAGAGGACAATCCCTCTCAGACAACCACTGGTACATCTGAAGTATTCATTCTAACCATTTGATGTCACTTGGTGACATTGACTCCTGACCTGTTGCAACCTCTACAGCCAATGTGATTATTATTTTACCCTGATGGTCATCGATGAACGTTTGAACATCTTGTAGAAAAATATGGCCTTAATGGCCACGTACTGTTATAATCTCCACCCAGCACAGCCAGAAGGGGACTGGCCACCCCTCAGAGCCTGGTTCCTCTCTATGTTTCTTCCTAGGTTTCTGCCTTTCTAGGGAGTTTTTCCTAGCCACCATGCTTCTAAATCTGCATTGCTTTGCTGTTTGGGGTTTTAGTCTGGGTTAAAAGGGCTTTATAAATACATTTGATTGATTGATTGATTGATTAGGCTATTTACTGTATTACAAAAGTGATATTGAATTGTGTTTGGTTGTCAACACAACCAAATATCAACATTTGAAAGAGATGTATCTACTGCTTGGAAAGTTCCATCTGTGCAACTGGCTTAGTCCTATATTCTTTAACTTAGATGTTTGGTTGAATCCAATATATCAATAATTCACCCTGCCCTTTTCATTAGCCAATGCAGCAATTTAGAAATGGAAGTATCAGCCAATCAGCTCCTTTGTTGTTCAACGCAACCTGCCATTCCATAATGGCTGATGTGGCTAATGCTAGCTAGCATTAGAACAAAAAGGGCAGTTTTCCTGGAAAACTAGCAGTATTTCAATATTCTCAATGGAGCAGTGTGGATAGAGGTAACATTTGGAGTACAATGGCATATCCCATCCCTGGATTGAGGTACGTTTTCCGACCCATATCTCGCGCCATCTCCACGGTGTCTTAATGTAACCATGATTGCGTTCCAACCCTAGTGCAGCTCAGTGTAAACAAGCACAACGGTAGGGTCGGTATCTTCTAGCAAGTATAAGAGTATTCAGTATTAATTTGAAATATCTATTTTGATATACCGGTAAAAGTACAATGAGATGTAATGGAAAGAAATACACTAATTTCTCAGAAATGATTTACAAAGCACTCTTGGAATTTCAATAAAGGTCTTTAAAAGTTATTTTTAATACAAGATACATTAATTGCTATCAGCTTTGGTAAACCGGTCCTATCCCTTAAAATAAAAGATAAACATGACTTTAAAGGAGAAGGAAACCTTTTTGTAATTTAGAACTGGAAAAAATAAAGCTTTGAAATTAAGTTGTCCTCTGATGAAAGGTGGTGAGCTCAGAAAAAAGAAAAGAGAAGAATAAACTACGATTCTCATCCCCTTCTTCTCTGCTGTCGATGATGGTGCTTATCCCACAGTTTGGGACTGCTCATCCCGATGGCGCAGCACGCCAGCCTCCGCCCAGCATTACCATGTAGCAGGCTCCCTGCATCACCACCCTGGCCTAGGTCGTCTGCCTTCTCATGGACCACCACCGCCCGCCCCAGCACCGACGGCCCCCCGAACAGAGTGGCCTCCGATTCAGTCAACTTGTGAACCCTCCCCTGGTGGGCCACAAAGTTCCCAAAGTCTCCTGGGTGGCGGGGATGGGGGACCCTGTAAGGGTTGTAATGACCGCCTGTGGAATCGCAGCCCTCGCTGAAATCCCCGTACTGGTGGATGTGGACAGCTTTTGGCTGATGATCACTCTGACTGGGGAAACCATGGAGAAGAAAGAGGACTTTGAGGGTTCCCTCAGGGTATTCCTGCTTGAACAGCACCTGTCCGTACACCTTAGTTAGACCTTCGCCTAGCTTGGTGCTGGGTCTCATTTTGCAGACTGCATAGACGGTTCTGTTATACTCAATGGCCTCTGGTGGGGCCATGTTGGAGGCAGCCTCCTGGCTGTGTGTAGAGCAGGCTTGGAAGCTTACCAGAACCAACAGAAGTGTTGGATGAAATAAAGGCATGGCCCTAGCTATTTTGTGTAACCTAGAAGAAAACAAAATACACAATCAGGATCTCATAGTGACCACAGGGCAACCATGTTTTCTCATTCATTTAACCTGTAGCCTAACTAATGCACATAAATAGAAACTGATTTAAATTGGGAGGATGAAGCCTGTTGGTCAAAGTTGGGATTTTAAGTACATGAATAAACTATTCTATACTATTTAAGTACACTTCTTTATAAATGTCTAATATTTGCCTAACACTGTAGACTTGTAGTAGGCTAACCATTGCCTACCTAACCTTGTAGACATTTTTGGAAGACATGCCCTGTCATATTTACATTTAGAATGCAGGGAATAGGCTATTGAAAAGCTAGGTTTACCTGCCAGGCTGGCATTACAGTGACGTGGGGAGGGTAAAGATCTATACTACACTACAGGCTTAATCTAGCCTATCCTACAATTTCTGTTTAGCATACTTCTCTAATAGGAATAGGTTTAAACACATATAGTTTCTGGGGGTATCTGTAGCTTATTATTTCTATTTTTGACAACTTTTACTTTTACTTCATTACATTCCTAAAGAAAATAATGTACTTTTTACAACATACATTTTCCCTGACACTCAAAAGTACTCATTACATTTTGAATGCTTAGCAAGACAGGAAAATTGTCAAATTCACGTACTTATCAAGAGAACATCCCTGGTTATCCCTACTGCCTCTGATCTGGTGGACTCACTAAACACAAATGCTTCATTTGTAAAGATGTCTGAGTTGTGAAGTGCGCCCCTGGCTATCCTTAAATTAAATTTAAAAAAGAGAAAATGGTGAAGTGTGGTTTGCTTAATATAAGGAATTTGAAATGATTTATACTTTTACTAGTATTTTACTGGGTGACTTTTACTTGAGTCATGTTCCATTAAGGTATCTTTACTTTAACTCAAGTATGACTATTGGATAGTTTTTCCACCACTGACTATAGGCCTATAGTAATAATTGAGGAAAACATACACCCAAATGAACACACATTCCTCAGTCGCTTAGTCTTTGGAGTGTAACTTAATTCGGATTTGGCAAGCAATTTTCTATAATATTGATTGATGGCCATGTTCGTGATCGCTGTAGCCTACCTGTCTGGCGTAATCACAATTCTTGACAATTGTCGGAATAGACCATCGAGGTTGTCACACAAACTTTGCAGAGATAGTGCCCGTCAATCTTGAGGGAGTTCGATTAAGTGCACCGGGCTAAGGTCTCCGTGACATGAACGGGCAACAGCAGTAAGGGAGGAGCGCCTTTCTAATAATCTCAAATCGAACAGTAATCTGCGCCGCTCGGTCATGTTGACAACACGACAGCATGATGCGTAGTTCAGAAACATACATCTATTTTCCATAAAATACAAGTATATGTTCGAATTTTCAAAGTAGTTTTCATTGGGAATTCAGATAAAGTATTTTGTATCAAAAGCAATCACTTCTGCATTTGAAAACACAGAATCCTACTCATTACTACGTCACTTTTGTTTTGAGCCGATTTCGCCGTCGTTCATAATTTGGCACCTGGCTCACACCGGGGTGGCAGCCGGTTCGTAAACGAATGCATTAATATAATCCTCTCCTTGTGTAACAGGAGGGCGTCAGTGGTGGGTGGAGCGGGGGTGAGATGGGACACATTCTTTTCACGTCATTTCGCCCGGTGGGCGGTGCTTTACGTCACGGTGGGCGTGGGTTTCAAAGTGCAAGGACTGTCCGATGCGGGTCCACGTTCAACCGAGAACCCTCCGCCTGGGACCTCCTTCATAAATTAAATTCTGGTGGGTTTGTACTTTATAGTTTACAATTGCACTTTCATATTATTACATAATTTTGCTTTATTTGAACTAACAATAGCTAGCTGGACCAGTTTTCCCAAAAGTGAACGATGTGTATTTGCTGCTAGCCAACCTACAACGTCAATGCTGCTATCAAGCCAATCTACTAAATTTAGAATGAAATATATGAAATTGATCATGACTAGATTTAATCTCATTGGTTAGTCAACATGCAATAATACCTGTATACTGTCAATCACTGAGATGAATGATTTGCCTTGCTGGCTTCATTAAAAACTCTTAATCTGATGGTTTTTTGGATGTCTTTGATTTTATTCATTTATTCAAGGGCCTATACATGAGGCCAACTTTACCATAATTTATCCAGGAGGCATTGAGCATATTTACACATCCAGTCTCATTACTTTGCGTGAATGATACAGCATCTCTCAACTTTAAACAATGCGAAATATTAATAGAAAATCATTTGTTTTAGCTTCTTTCTATACTGTGGCTGCATTAATAGCAAACAACATGAATTCAGCAATTACATTTGTTTAGGCTACTTCATCTTTGTGGCTCCCTGATGAAACAGTAACATCCATTACTGTAGTTAGGCTTGGTATGTCCACCAGATGCATGTCCACCAGATCAGATGAGAGTTTGATGCATCTGGTGCAGAGGAGGCTGGTGGGAGGAGCTATAGGAGGACAGGCTCATTGTAATGGCTGGAATGCAATTAATGCAACGGTATCAAACACATAAAACATATGGAAACTACACGTTTGACTCCATTCCATTAATTCCATTCCAGCCATTACAATGAGCCAGTCCTCCTATAGCTCCTCCCACCAGCCTCCTCTGCACCAGATGCATCAAACTCTTTGCGTTCTGACGGAAGTCATTCATTGTCAATGGATCAGTCAGCAACGCTAGGTTGAGGATGCCGCACTAGGCTGCGGTGCTTTCCGTGTACCGCATGCGTTCAATATTTTCAACTCTTGCTTTGCTTTACCATGTGGTGGTACAAACGGAAGTACACCCACAGACTCCAACTAGCTAGCTTTTAGCTAGTTCAAAAGCAAGCTAGACATCAGGCAAAATAAAATGCATACGCATATGCATCTGGTGGACATCGGGCGTACCCCTGCACATCGACTCACAAGGGGTAGTGGTACCCCTTGTATATAGCCAAGTTAATGTTACTCATTATGTATCTATTATTACTTTTATTATTAAGTGTTTTAGTTTTCTATTATTTCTCTATTTTCTTTCTCTGCATTGTTGGGAAGGGCCCGTAAGGAAGCATTTCTCTGTTACTCCACACCTGTTGTTTACGAAGCATGTGAAGAATAACATTTTATTTTAATTCCAAGTCGGAAACTTTCTAGAGCTCCGACTTTCAACCTGAAGATCACTGAAGTCATGATTTGACCTCGTTTTTCAGAGTTCCCAGTTGTCTTGAAAGCACAATGGGTGTTTCTCAAAACGCATACTCCTATGAGGCTATACCTCGATTGTAAAAAGTAATATTAAACTAACAACTGCAGGCAATACGCTTGACCTCATCTTTACTAGATGCTGTTCTTCTACTAATCTCACTGCAACTCCCCTCCAAGTCTCCGACCACTACTTTGTATCCTTTTCTCTCTCCCTCTCCTCCAACACTACTCACTCTGCCCCTACACAGATGGTAATGCGCCGTCGCAACCTTCGCTCTCTCTCTCCCGCTACTCTCTCCTCTTCCATCCTATCATCTCTTCCCTCTGCTCAATCCTTCTCCCTCCAATCTCCTGATTCTGCCTCCTCAACCCTCCTCTCCTCCCTTTCTGCATCCTTTGACTCTCTATGTCCCCTATCCTCCCGGCCGGCTCGGTCCTCCCCTCCAGCTCCGTGGCTTGATGACTCATTGCGAGCTCACAGAACAGAGCTCCGGGCAGCTGAGAAATGGAAGAAAACTAGACTCCCTGCAGACCTGGCATCTTTTCACTCCCTCCTCTCTACATTTTCTTCATCTGTTTCTGCTGCTAAGGCCACTTTCTACCACTCTAAATTCCAAGCATCCGCCTCTAACCCTAGGAAGCTCTTTGCCACATTCTCCTCTCTGCTGAATCCCCCCCCCCCCTCCCTCTCTGTGGATGACTTCGTCAACCATTTTGAAAAGAAGGTTGACGACATCCGATCCTCGTTTGTTAAGTCAAATGACACTGCTGGTCCTGCTCACACTGCCCTACCCTATGCTTTCACTTCTTTCTCCCCTCTCTCTCCAGATAAAATCTTGCGACTTGTGACGGCAGGCCGCCCAACAACCTGCCCGCTTGACCCTATCCCCTCCTCTCTTCTCCAGACCATCTCCGGTGACCTTCTCCCTTACCTCACCTCGCTGATCAACTCATCCTTGACCGCTGGCTATGTCCCTTCCGTCTTCAAGAGAGCGAGAGTTGCACCCCTTCTCAAAAAACCAACACTCGATCCCTCTGATGTCAACAACTACAGACCAGTATCCCTTCTTTCTTTTCTCTCCAAAACTATTGAGCGTGCCGTCTTTAGCCAACTCTCTTGCTATCTCTCTCAGAATGACCTTGATCCAAACCAGTCAGGTTTCAAGACTGGTCATTCAACTGAGACTGCTCTTCTCTGTGTCACAGAGGCTCTCCGCACTGCTAAAGCTAACTCTCTCTCCTCTGCTCTTGTCCTTCTAGACCTGTCTGCTGCCTTTGATACTGTGAACCATCAGATCCTCCTCTCCACCCTCTCCGAGCTGGGCATCTCCGGCGCGGCTCACTCTTGGATTGCGTCCTACCTGACCGGTCGCTCCTACCAAGTGGCGTGGCGAGAAGCTGTCTCCGCACTACGTGCTCTCACCACTGGTGTCCCCCAGGGCTCAGTTCTAGGCCCTCTCCTATTCTCGCTATACACCAAGTCACTTGGCTCTGTCATATCCTCACATGGCCTCTCCTATCATTGCTACGCTGACGACACACAACTAATCTTCTCCTTTCCCCCTTCTGATAACCAGGTGGCGAATCGCATCTCTGCATGTCTGGCAGACATATCAGTATGGATGACGGATCACCACCTCAAGCTGAACCTCGGCAAGACGGAGCTGCTCTTCCTCCCGGGGAAGGACTGCCCGTTCCATGATCTCGCCATCACGGTTGACAACTCCGTTGTGTCCTCCTCCCAGAGTGCGAAGAGCCTTGGTGTGACCCTGGACAACACCCTGTCGTTCTCCGCTAACATCAAGGCGGTGACCCGATTCTGTAGGTTCATGCTCTACAACATTCGGAGAGTACGACCCTGCCTTACACAGGAAGCGGCACAGGTCCTAATCCAGGCACTTGTCATCTCCCGTCTGGATTACTGCAACTCGCTGTTGGCTGGGCTCCCTGCCTGTGCCATTAAACCCCTACAACTCATCCAGAATGCCGCAGCCCGTCTGGTGTTCAACCTTCCCAAGTTCTCTCACGTCACCCCGCTCCTCCGCACACTCCACTGGCTTCCAGTTGAAGCTCGCATCTGCTACAAGACCATGGTGCTTGCCTACGGAGCTGTGAGGGGAACGGCACCTCCGTACCTTCAGGCTCTGATCAGTCCCTACACCCAAACGAGGGCACTGCGTTCAATCCTTCTACCCCCCTCCCCCACCCCCCCAAATAAAAAATAAAAATAAAATAAAAACATTGTAAAGTGGTTATCCCACTGGCTATAAGGTGAATGCACCTATTTGTAAGTCGCTCTGGATAAGAGCGTCTGCTAAATGACGTAAATGTAAATGTAAATGTAACTGATAAGTCAATGTTGCAATAGAGTGATTATTGGAAGACTCGAAGTGCTCATGCTCCGAGCAGGCAAATGGACCACAGGAGGTCGGAGTGTGAGTCCAAATCAAAGTATGCGAAACGGAGCACGGAGAGCACTTCTCGAATGCATACTCTGTACAAGCATTCATCGATGCAAGCTTCAACGGAAAGTATGCAAAGAAATATGACGCAACCATGTAAAAAATGATGCAAAATTGATTGAAATCAATGGCGGACATTATTTGAGCTGAAGTGAGAGAAAATACACTCCGACTTCGGAATGAAATGTTGCCTATTCACATCTCATATGTTGCCTGACTACAATATTTTATCTTGATACGTTAATAAATACATGCTGTGTTAATTTTGGCATGTTTACCTGCCTAAGTACCGTAGATAGCAAGCCCATAATAAGTCAATAGGCCTAACTGGCTAGCTACTACTACTGTTAGCTAGCTAGCCAGATAGCCATGAAGAATTGTTAGCTAGCTACCAACGAAGAATTTACATCTATCTTGCATAATATTAGTTTTAGGTAATTTTTGCCTGTTAAACTATCTGGTTAGCTGCATTATTGCGTTTCACATATAGCTAGCTGATAGTTATGAAGTAAAACGGTTGCTTTGTGTATATCTTGTTTCGTCTCTATTGCCATTGTTGTCCTGGCTGGAAGACGGTTCAGTGAATGGGTATTGTAAGTCAATAGGGTTAACTGGCTAGCTAGCCAGGAAGAATTGGTGGCTACCCACGAAAAATGGGTAGCCATCATGTTTCGTCTATTGTTGCCATTGCCATAGCTGGAAGAAGGTTCAATGAATGGGGAGGTGAAGCGTGAGGTAATACAGTAGGGGGAGTGCGAGTGCTTCTCAAATGTATTGTTTTATGCATTCTCCACACTCTCGTCCTCACAAGAAAGTCCTCAAGAGAACGTGGTCGGAGAATGCACCGGAGCATGAGTGTGGAGCACGGTAGTGGCATATTGAGAAACACTCAATGTGTCCACATTGCTTATAGAGCTCGCCAGTTTGTTCTAAAATCCAGAAATGAAACCTCTGGTTCGTTCAGCCAGAGATTTGTGTATAATGAGGAGATGCCCTAACAATGGGAGTCAATGGGCTCGTTTGAGTGGTAAAGCAACCGACCGTTGTCCCAAAGGCGGGAAGGCAGGCAACACGTTTAGGTCCAAAATAAACCCATAGAAACGCATTGGGCTTAATTTGAACAGATTTTTTGCGAGATTTGACCTCTCCCTTCGCCTTTTCTTCACCCATTCATATGGGGAAATTAACGGGGAAAGAATGGGGTTTTGGGATAAACGCCGATTTATAGGCATACGTTTTGTTCTTTGAGATAATATCAGTCAGTTAACATGACCTTTATGAACTATGAAGCCTTTATGTGGTTATTTTGATTACATAAAGGCTTCAGCATTCACAAAAAGTGACGTTAGCTGATGAAGATGATCTCATAGAACAAAACGTATACGATCTTCTAAGCCTGTGTTTACCACATACCTCATTTTCGGCATTTATCCCAAAACCCTACAAAAAAAAAACTATTAATTCCCCATAGGCTTTGGCCAACGAGCCATGGCGGAGTTAGCCTCCGTTAGTGCCTACCAAAAGACGCCATTACTATTGCTCTCTAAAGGGCTATAGCCTAATAGCACAATGGGCTGTAATAACACACAATGATCTCTATTATTCTGGGGAAAAGAAGCCTAATAGTGGGGCTATGCTGAAATGTTATCCTAGGCTAGAGGAAAGCCATTCCTTGCCTCATAAAATGTTAGGCCTAATTATGAAAAAGTAAAGCTAGTATGCCATAAAAAGTAATCATTTGTGCCAGTGTTTTATTATTCTATCAGGCCTTAATGTGATATAAAATGTGTTATTGTCACAAAGAATATTCAATATCCTGAAAACAAGTAGCCTAGTCCTCGAGACAGACAGAACGTAAAACCTGCGGATCTTACGATAATGTAGCCCATTTTCTCAGTGCACGCTACCAAATAGACAGACACCAAATATACTGATAACTTCCCTTATTCAACTGTGCTGAACCATCTGAGTCTGACCGTGTAACATCTGTTATGCCGCAATGATTCATAGGATGGCAGCAGTGAGCAACACATTTGTTATTGTTTTACCAAAGATGTTTTATAACTAAACCAAGACAGACCACAACCTGTCGTTTCCAATGGGGAACAGATGAGTCATAGTGGGCAGAACAAGCAAGGAGGTTGGCAGAGCCAAGCACGAGCTAACGAGATCCTATTGGCGTGTTCTAGCATTATCTGCATATTTCCGTTAGGGAACGCCTACTATGTGAAGTGCGCGTGTGCAATAACTCAATTCTCCTTTGCGCACCTTCTAAACAACGCGATTTTTAAAAACGTTTGCAAAGGGCAAAGTCTACTAAACTTAGTCCACTCTGTTCATAACATATTCTAGTTTTGGTAACAGAAAAATGTATTGAGATAAAATGTTTCACCGATGAGAACATTTGCAGAATGTCGGCCAAAATCCATCGACTCCCACGGTCCGCCAGGCGGATGCTTCACATTTATACATCCAGTGAAATATCTGTCTCGTTGTTCTATCTGTGGTTTTACCTTCTGCAGAACCACAACCAACGAGCAAAAAAAAAACTGCTTCCGGGTTACCCGAATTTGCTTCCTCGCGCGGATCACTGAAGCTAGCCGGTCGTAAGGAAAGTAGCGAAATATACGCTTTTATTTAAAATCTGTGTTTATTCATCATGTCAAAAAGACACCGTTTAGATTTAGGCGACGACTACACCAATAAAAAGAGATCTGATGGGTAAGCTTCTCGTTCCATGCATCTACTCTCTTTCGGGTATCAAGTTGTTGCTAGTGAACGGCTAGCTTGTTTTGTTTAGCTAACTATCAACCGGCTAATGTTGCTTCTTGCTAGTTATCATTTATTAGCTGGCTACTTTGTAGAGATGATAAACGATTAGCTACATATCCGCGAGCTTCCTATGTTAATCAGCCTGTGACGCTCGTGTAGTCATGTTGACAAGGCACGTGTTGATGTTCTGCGGCCTAGCGCTAACGTTACACAGAGTAAACTGGCTAGCCAAGTAAAACTCAATTCCACGATGTCTTCACATCAACGGAGTTGAAAGCATACAAGAGTGGGCGGACTGGAACTCCGACGTCACATACAATGTAGTATTTATAAAAAAACTACAGCACCCAAAAAGTAGCCCGCAATTACGCGGCACATTGTCATTTTATGTGACATCGGAGCACCTTTCTGCCGACGTCTCCGCTAAACTCCGTTTATGTACACGAGCTGGGTGGTTCGAATCTCCTAGCCGACAAGGTGAAAAATCTGCCGTTATGCCCTTGAGCAAGGCAGTTAATAACCCACAACAACAGGTGCCCAATGTGGCAGCCCCCTGAACTTCTCTGATTCAGAGGGGTTGAGTTTCGGTTGGGCCTTGTGGGCAATTGACAATAAGAAATGTAATCCTTTAATCATGGAGTTGTGTTTTATTTGGCAATTAATTGGCCAGCCTATTTCTCAAATTCAGGAACTAGCCTCTCAGCTGCAAGATAGACAAATAACCAACACTTGCGTATTCTAATATGGCATCCAATTTTCATTAGCATTAGCGCTTAATCTGATTTAATCTACATACAATAGCCTTTTGTGGACCGGGAGCAACACTTGCATATTTGGATTGCATTAAATGGTCATCGGTAACATTTCCTGCTATAGAATGGTCAATGAATAATATAAATCCCATGATTCTTGAGTAATAATTCTTATTGACATAACCCAAAATATAAGAATATATAACTTAATTTGTTTTTGTCATTGAGTTTTTATAAACACACTATGCACATTTTGTAAATGGCCCACTACTTTAAAGTGTACTCTATTTCAAGTAATATACTATCGTGGGTTGACTTATGTATATTCTTCTATTTTTCAGGAAAGACCGAGATCGCGACAGGGACCGCGACGAGCGCTCTAAAGACAGGGACAGGGACCGCGACAGAGATCGTGACCGGGACCGAGATAGGGACGTGAAGCCCTCCGTCGTGCCCCCCAACCCCATGATGGCCGGGGGAGGCATGCTTCCTCTCAAGCAGACAGCCATGCAGCAGCAGATCAACCCGTTCACAAACCTGCCCCACACGCCACGATACTATGAGATCCTGAAGAAGAGGCTGCAGCTGCCTGTGTGGGAGTACAAGGAGCGCTTCAACGACATCCTGGCACGCCACCAGAGCTTCGTGCTTGTTGGAGAGACGGGCTCCGGGAAAACCACACAGGTGCAGTTCTGTTCAATAGTCCTTAAACAGGGATTGACATTAAGGTCTAAAAGGCTCTTGCCCATTGGGCAAGTCAGGAGTATTTTTTTGGTTGGCCGAAAGATTATGATCACTTGCCCCCGAAAATTTAAACTAGCTATTTTCACCTACACACGGGAGAAACCCGAAAGACCAGACCACTAGAATTCTTTGCATCAGTAAAAAAAGAATCCCCTGCCCAATGGGGCAACTTGCGCGACTGCTCAGGTCACTTGCCCCGGGAAATAGGGAAACCCTTCATGTCAATCCCTGCCTTAAATTCTTCTCTGCATTTCTACTTTGCAGAAGTGCTTAGTTTGCATTTTTGCATTGGTAAATCTTCACACTTTAAACGGAAGAAGCCGTTTGGGTTGACTTTTAGTTTGATCTCCGGTTCCCTCTGTGTTTGTGTTTCTGATGGAATCAGATAGGTGTACAGTAAGCAATATCACCCTTGGCCCCCCTCCCACGCCATTGAAGGCCAAGTGGTTACATCACTGTGTTGTTTACACCTACTCTGTTCCCTCAGATCTGCAAACACAGAAGAGGTAGAGTATAGGGGCGGTTTGTAATTTGGCATTCCAGTCAATTCTCCCCCTCCCCTCTAAACCAATGCACTTTGGAATATGTTTATGTTGTTTCAGCAGACAGACACATCCATAACATGCCCTCCCTTTCCCCTCCTCAGATCCCCCAATGGTGTGTGGACATGGTGAAGGGCTTGGGCGGCCCCAAGAAGGCGGTGGCCTGTACCCAGCCCAGGAGGGTGGCAGCTATGAGCGTGGCCCAGAGGGTGGCCGATGAGATGGATGTCATGCTGGGCCAAGAGGTGGGCTACTCCATACGATTCGAGGACTGCAGCTCCGCCAAGACCATACTGAAGTAAGCAACTTCTTGTCTGGGGAGTAGAGGCTACATCAGGGTTATTCAATTCCAGGCCTAAACACTTCCAGTTTTCATTCTCGCCTAGTACCAGGATCATAATTATTAGGGCATACCCGTAGCAAAGCGCTGCAAGACGTTATGCAACTGAAATAGAAAATTAGCATTTGTTATTGGATAAGTTCAGATGGTACCTCTCAATTTTTAAGCGTTTTCTTCTGTTTTGTGCCTACTGAACACAACATTGGTAAAACAAAAAAACTGAAGCATTTTGGCCCTTCAGAACTGTAATTGAATACCCCCAGAATACATGATCCAAGCATTTGGGTTTATAGTCAGTTAATTCAATTAATCACACACAGCTTCAGTCAAATTTCTTGGACATGCTTTAGTTAATAAGAATTAAGTTATTTTAGACTACTGTGGTCAACAAGTATTTGGTATAGTGTTGCAGCTGCACACTAAAAGAGAGCAAAGGTTGTTTATATTTATTTATGTATTCATTTTGAAGAGGCGTAAGATCAATGAACACACATTTTGGAGTCCAAGCCATCACTAGGTCAGCATCTGCTATGTTTTAAACCATTTGTGCCCATTCCCCTTTAAGGTATATGACAGACGGTATGTTGCTTCGGGAAGCCATGAACGACCCCCTGCTGGAGCGGTATGGCGTGATCATCCTGGATGAGGCCCACGAGAGAACGCTGGCCACGGACATCCTAATGGGAGTCTTGAAGGAGGTGGTCCGACAGAGGTCAGACCTCAAGGTACAGCCTCCGAGTCCAGGGGGGAATCTCAAGTCTTTCCTCGATTCCTCGTGTCCTTGATTTGGATCTTCTTCTCTAATGTGTTTTGAGAAAGAGGCGGTGAATCAAGGAAAGACAAATGAGAAAGAGGGCATATACCAGGGTTGGTATCTTTTTCATTTGTATTTAGTCAATTCTGGAGATGAATTTGATTCAGTAGTTGAATTTAAATTAATTTGTTTTTGGATGGAATTAAAATGGTATTGACCATACATGAAGGAAAAAACATCACATAAGAATTGTAAATGTTGCTTTACCCGTGAAACTATTTCCATGTCCAAAAACAACCCCTGGCGTAGCCCATTCCCCATGCCTCTACAAAAGGCCTTAAAGAGCAACTGAACACGCCGATTGGCACGTGTGTTTTTCTGTTGCTCATTAGAAAAATGAGATTTCTGTCTTGGTGTGTTTCCTGACAGATTCTGCGTTTGGTTAATGTTTGTCGCCCATGAGACACTAGACGCGGAAGCCTATTTCACTTCCTGAAAATCCCCAGAATGACTTCAAGATACTGTAACTCAAGAAATCTGTTAATTAAGACTTTTTTGCAGAGGATGTTTTAGTTGCGCAATTTTACATCTAACTAAGTTGTTTGTCAAATAAAAAAAATGAACAACGTGTTGTCTTATGTAAACAAAGTCAGAGCTGCTGGGTAGGTCTGTCTCACTGTCTATACTATTGGATAGAGAGCAATCACTGCAGTTGTTCACCCCATGTTAGTGGGCAAATGGACATTGTCAAATCAAAACCCAACCTTAATTTACCCGTTGTGACGCACGGATTATCCAAACTGTTTTAGACGACACTAGAATAACTGTTTCTGACTCATTGATGCCACATAGGGCGTTTTCAAAGGGATTCATTGCTTTTTAAAGGCAGTCGCTCTTTAAGGGTTATGTTTTTGGATTGCTTTTCACTTACTACCTTAGTTAGTCCCAATGTCAATGTCATTTAGCCTAGTTATTTGCTTGTGCATCCTAGATCCCTATTCAAAAGTAGATGTGTCCCTCTTTGGGTCCCATTGTCAAGATTTCACTATTGTACACTAAAAGTGGCATTGCAACAAGGAATGTGTTCTTTGCCCACAGGTGATTGTGATGAGCGCCACGTTAGACGCCGGGAAGTTCCAGGTGTACTTTGACAGCTGTCCGCTGCTGACCATTCCCGGGCGCACACACCCTGTGGAGATCTTCTACACCCCTGAGCCAGAGCGGGACTACCTGGAAGCCGCCATCCGCACGGTCGTTCAGATCCACATGTGTGAGGAAGAGGAGGGGGACTGTCTGCTGTTCCTCACCGGACAAGAGGTATACCTCCACCCCTTGTCATATGCAATCCAGATAGTTTGAGTTGGTACACTGGTCAAGGGCTATACCTCTACCCCATCTCATATACAGTCAAGATGGTTTGAGTTGGTTCACTGTTCAAGAGGTATACCTCCAGCCCTTCTCATATGCAGTCAAGATGGTTTGGTTCAGTATTGAAGCATGATGCTGGCAATACCAAGGTTGTCGCCTGAATATAAGTTGAAGGGTTGGGGGAGGTTTAACTTTCAGGAAACCTGTCTGCTGCTCAACATGAATATTGTCTGACTGAACTGTCTTTCAGGAAATTGACGAGGCTTGTAAACGGATCAAACGGGAGATCGACGACTTGGGACCTGAAGTCGGAGACATCAAAGTAATTCCGCTATATTCCACACTGCCTCCCCAGCAGCAACAAAGAATCTTTGAGGCCGCACCCCCCAGGAAGCCCAGCGGTGCGATAGGAAGAAAGGTACTGACCAGCAGAACATTCCCGGACTACAAAAACAGGGTTGTGTTAACGTTTTGAAACTGAGTGAAATAGGAAGGTACTTCCTGAACTTGTACAATCAGAACACAGATTTTCGTTTTCCATTTCAAAATGCTTTGCTATGGGATGCCCTACTGAACACAACCCAGATTTCATACATTGGTGCTCGTTTATCACCAAAATTTCCAATGGCTTATGATGTAAGTTTGTATAGAAAGTTCTTCAATTGTCTGCTAGTGCTAACCCCAATGCCTGTTCCCTAGGTTGTGGTTTCGACAAACATTGCTGAGACATCCCTTACCATCGACGGAGTGGTGTTTGTGATCGATCCCGGTTTTGCCAAGCAAAAGGTAGACTGCTACTCTCCCTCTAAATTTTTTACCTTAACTCGTCTCGTCATTTCAAACTCAGAGGGAATACCTGGCGCTAATACTACAAACTTGTACGTTTTTCAATAACAGTGACACTTAAACTTTCTGTAGTCCATAATCTGAGCACAATGCAAATAGAAAAAGAATAGTAGTTCATTAACCAGGTTTCCATCCAACCATTTCATGTGGATGAATTACCTGACGCATAAAAAAACTCACGACAGGCCTCATAGATAAATGTCCCAATGTCGACAAAAAATAATACGCAAGACAAGATGGGATCATTTTTTTGTCTGTGAAGTAGATTATGCGACAATTGCGGTGGAAATGCTTTTATGTGCAAATATTGATATAAAAACCATCATACTTTTGACCATGTAGTGTATGTGGACACCCCTTCAAATTAGTGGATTTGTCTATTTCAGCTACACCCGTTGCTGACACGTGTATGAAACGGAGCACATAGCCATGCAATCTTCATAGACAAACATTGGAAGTAGAATGGCCCATACTGAAGAGCTCACTGACTTTCAACGTGGCACCGTCATAGGATGCCACCTTTCCCAACAATTAATAATTTGTGTGTTCATGGATTGCCCTGCTGGCAATTAAATAATATAATTTGTGATTAATTGCGCGCAGGTAATTAATGAATATAGAAATTATTCAAGGTTTTCAGTTTAAAAATGTATTGCAGGGAAATTAAGTAATGAATGTATGATTTAAGATTATCTCTTGAAGTGCTGTCCATGTCATTCACTGTGGATTTAACCAACGTGGAATCAGCATCCAATAATTTTTATAAAATAAGACTTGAGTGAGCATGTTGTCTACTCTGTAACCCACAGGTGTACAACCCTCGTATCAGGGTGGAGTCTCTCCTGGTCACGGCGATCAGCAAAGCCTCGGCGCAGCAGAGGGCAGGTCGCGCCGGCAGGACACGGCCAGGGAAGACTTTCCGCCTTTACACCGAGAAAGCCTACAAGACCGAGATGCAGGTGAACTTTTCTGGATTGTAGAAATGCTGGGGCAAAGTATACGGTCGAATGGAGGATTGAATACATTGAGTTATCTTATGGATAATGTTGAGGACAATGGATTTATTAAGGAAATGTTTATAGTCTAACGTATCTCGTGTGGTGCTGGGCATTTTACAGAAGCCTGTTTCGGCCATTACGTTCAGCTCTTGTTAAACATGATTTGGATGAATAAGCCGACCTTGTTACACAACGGATGATATGATACCAGTAGAATGGCTTCATGTTCTACAGATCTGACTATGTTATTTTCCACTACAGGACAACACGTATCCCGAGATTCTCCGATCCAACTTGGGTTCTGTCGTGTTGCAGTTGAAGAAGCTGGGTATCGATGACCTGGTGCACTTTGACTTCATGGACCCACCAGGTGAGGAGTCAAGGTTTTGCTGGAATACTTGCCTGTTGGAAGTGCTACTTTAGTTTGAAACTGTTTAAATTGAAACTGACTGGCAGACCTTTTTCTTGATATAACTCTTGACCAACCTGGTTATCATAAAATATAATTTATTGATTGATTGTTTGACAGCCAGAAAAGTAAAAGTGACAAAGAGATAGAACATGTTCTATGCTGTACTGATCACTTGCTCCTCTTGCTTCCTCCCTTGCGCTCTCAAGCCCCAGAGACCCTGATGCGGGCGCTGGAGCTGCTCAACTACCTGGCGGCACTCAACGACGATGGCGACCTGACAGAGCTGGGCTCCATGATGGCCGAGTTCCCGCTGGACCCCCAGCTGGCCAAGATGGTGATCGCCAGCTGCGAGTTCAACTGCTCCAATGAGATCCTCTCCATCACCGCCATGCTGTCAGGTAATGGCCCAGGGCCGGGATGGCTGGCATCCAAAGTCGCCCAGTGCCCACCCTTGGCACCAGTTGGCACCCTCTCAACCCTGTGGGTTCCAATTTAATGCAAGATGGAGATCTCTAGACTCATCATCTCAGTGCTTTCTTAATGATATTTGTTAATTTCTTATGGTAGCCTAGAAGAGTTAATTAATATTTTGGAAAATAAAAGAGGTGGCCCACAGTTATGGGGGCTTGCAGATCTAGTTAGCAAAGATGCTAGAAAGTATTAGATTTATATGGAGGGATCGAGTTAACAAATCACAATATTTGGTAAGTATTCCTCAAATCAAAATGTGAGATAACAAAAAGCCAATGGTGGGAAACTTCCGCCGTAGAGGGCCCCAGGGAAAGATGCACTTGATTTGGTCTCCACAAAGGATTTGGATGGCTTACTGGTTAGATACTTGATTGATAATGACCATTAACAATTTAAGGTGATGGTTGATGGAAAAGTCAACTGAAAGCCAATTGTATTCTGTATCAAATTGAAAAGTTGACCAGGTTTCTTCCAACTGCTTGAAATATGGGAGTGTTTATCCTCAGTGCAATTGGGCAGGGCAGGCACCTCAATGTAGTGTTCTCAGATAGGTCTAAAACATTGCGTCTTTGCATTTGATTAGTGGTTTGTCTATGGCTGCTTTAATGGTGTCTTTTGATTTGCTGTATTATTGGCCCAATTGCATCGGCAGTACAAGATACGATGGCAAGCAATGCTATTTTTTATCATCATGCTCGTACTCGCAAAATTATTTCTCATCAAGACCTGATCTTTATTTTTGTTTTAAGTGAGGTTATTTGTTATCTGCATGTGGGTGGTTGATTAGGCTATATTTAAGCTTTCTTGGCCAATGTTGGTTTTGGTTTTACTACCAGGGGGAATCTATTTGCGTTCAATATGGCAAGATAGATTTCTGTTTTTATCATATAGAATGTTCAGTGTTTGGACTTTTCACAGTATTTCAAATTGACATTCCCCTCATGCTTTACTCATACACATTTGTGATTTGGATGTGGTCAATTCAATATCAATTCAGGAGATTCATAGAAATTCCAGTTCAGTACAAAGGCCATACATTTTTTTTTCATGTTGAATTTTCATGTTGAATTTGGTCTGCGAATGCAAAATGACTACCTTGAATGTCATATTTATTGAAACATGTATGAGTAAAGCAAATGTAGGTTTACAGGCGGAACATGAAAGTAATGATCGGTGTTGTTGCAGAAACTCCCAATTTGGACATATTGATGTTCCTCTTCCATACAAATTCGTATGTCAGTAGTGACATCGAATAAGGACATCTATTTCCCTTTTATAACGTCAAGGCTGTTTTATGTAGCCATTGACTTGAATGTGAAATGGACTTGGATTCTCTTGAATGTTATATACACTGTTCTCAAGTTCAATGCTCTCTTTTAACGCTCTGCAGGTGTGTGAAACCTCTTTGTTTTGCAGATGTGGTTAGGTGTTGACCCCCTTGACAAGCTAGTAGCCAGTCATCATGCAGTCGGAAGAGCCCCCTCTCATAAACACACCACTTGGTCCTGCCCTGCCCCCCTATGCTCTCTGTCAAGTTTTCTAGCTACAATAGGCCTTGTTCCTCTGTTCTGTGAATGCTTGACTCATCCCTATGGGCGTCTGTGTTGGGGCCCATACCAACCTTGTCTAGTCCCGCAGTGTTTCGTCCGCCCCACCGAGGCTAAGAAGGCGGCGGACGAGTCCAAGATGCGGTTCGCCCACATCGACGGAGACCACCTGACGCTCCTCAACGTCTACCACGCCTTCAAACAAAGTAAGCATGGGCGCCACAAACATCTTATTTTGATAGGGTAAAAATCATTGAAGGGACAGATTATACTCCAAAATCAAGGTTTGTATCTATAAATTAATGGCCTGAGACATGGGTCGGGTCCGAAATCTGTCTTGCCTACTACTTACTAAAACAACATACTGTGTACTCATTTGTACTACATACTATTTAGAATGTACTGTTTAATACAAAACGAATGCAGTAAGCAACAAATGTCCCCCATCCTGAAAATGCACCATCTTATGCGCAATTGCGCTGATTCCCGCAATTCGTTCGTTTGGGTACAGCGCGTCCCCTTATCTCATTATCAGCTGTTGTCAAACACACGTGAGTCTGGAAAGACGATTCTCTTCCTCAAAAGTGTGCAGCAAATTCTATTAGAAGAGAAGCCGAAATGAGTAAAACAAACATCCTGGCATTTAAAGCATACTTGATTTTTGAAATTTCACATACTATAAAACTTTCTGTTTTCGCATAGCTAAAATGCCTACTATGTAGAACAAAAGTATGGGTAATCGGACATGGCCATGGACTTATCTCAACAGAAGACTCACTTTTGAAGTCAGATTTGTAAGTGTAATGTCCCTTTAAAGCACTTACTTTGTGAAACATGAGGCTTGTTTGACTTGCAGTTGCCTGTAACTTGAAGGTTGATCTTTGTTGTCGTTTCTCAGACCACGAGTCTACACAGTGGTGCTACGACAACTTTGTGAACTACCGTTCGCTGATGTCAGCCGACAACGTGCGCTCGCAGCTGTCCCGGATCATGGACCGCTTCAACCTGCCCCGCCGCAGCACCGAGTTCACCAGCAGAGACTACTACATCAACATCCGCAGAGCGCTCGTCACAGGCTTTTTCATGCAGGTCAGTCGGTGCACAGCAGGGCAGGTTCCATTTCAATTAACTCTGAATTGCCTGAATTGAAATGGAATTGAGCCTAACCCTGATATACATCATTAAGTGAACAAATACGATTTATTTCGCATTGTGTGCATATTTTCTGAAATGTTATAATATTTTCTTGTTTGCTTAGGTGGCTCATTTGGAGCGCACAGGCCATTACCTCACGGTCAAGGACAACCAGGTGGTCCAGCTACACCCGTCTACCGTCCTGGACCACAAGCCAGAGTGGGTGCTCTACAATGAGTTTGTGCTCACCACCAAGAACTACATTCGCACCTGCTCGGATATCAAACCGGAATGGTACGTTTGTGGTCATGAAGTCTAATTCAGAAATGTCCACACAAATAAAACGATTAGCGAATACAAGGGTAAATAACAAGGGTTTTTGATAAGCTTCAACATTTCAATACTCATTTATCTCTTATGACTTACTTGTTTACACTTAAACATAGGCTTTTATTAAGTAATGCTTTTATGGGATATTTTGATTATGTTATGCGACTTTGCTTTAATTGATCTTCTCTCCCCAGGCTGGTGAAGGTTGCTCCTCAGTACTACGAAATGGGCAACTTCCCACAGTGTGAAGCCAAGAGGCAGTTGGAGCGAATCGTGGCCAAACTCCAGACCAAGGAGTATTCCCAATACTGAATAACAGCGACTGGAGAGAGGAAGACATCCTTGAAAGAGCTTGGCACAATTCATACTTTAAAGTTGTATCCTATCTTCTATCTTAATGTTTCTCTCGATTCAAGATATGATTTTTATAACTTTTTTTGTTTGCTGTTTTTCTGTCCATTCAATAGCAACGTGTATAACTGTAAGCATTTATGAAATTGATATCAATGGCGAATATTAGGCTATTCTGATTAGAGATTTTCAAAAGGAATACAATTAACACGTTAAGCATGAGCATTCATGTGGATATTGTTGATGTTCCTCTAGGAAATTGTGAACCCTGAGAAAAAAAAGTGTACTTGCCTAGGTTGTCCTTGTTTCTTCAATAAAGGAGCTTCGACTTTAATAAAACAATGAATAATAGCTCATGTTCATTGACGATGCCTTTGATTGTCTAAAATATTTGTTAACTGTAAATGAATAATAGCATACATAATACATTATGTATACCCAGGGGTGAAAGTTGATTTAATTTCTTACCGGTACTTGACCTACTACTAAAAAATCATAGAATTACATATAGAATCCCTATTAATTTAGTGATCTCCGTGGGCCAAGTAGGCTTATAAAGATTTGTCATATAACTTTGATAATGTATTACCTTTTAATGTGGAATAAACACAACTACTTACAGTGAGGGGAAAAAAGCATTTGATCCCCTGCTGATTTTGTATGTTTGCCTACTGACAAAGAAATGATCAGTCTATAATTTTAATGGTAGGTTTATTTGAATAGTGAGAGACAGAATAACAACAAAAAAATCCAGAAAAACGCACGTCAAAAATGTTATAAATTGATTTGCATTTTTTAAATGAGGGAAATAAGTATTTGACCCCTCTGCAAAACATGACATTTACATTTTAGTCGACGCTCTTATCCAGAGCGATTTACAGTGAGTGCATACATTATTTTTTGTATTTTTCATACTGGCCCCCCGTGGGAATCAAACCCACAACCCTGGCGTTGCAAACGCCATGCTCTATCAACTGCGCTACATCCCTGCCGGCCATTCCCTCCCCTACCCTGGACGAATTGTGCGCTGCCCCATGGGTCTCCCGGTCGCGGCCGGCTACGACAGAACCTGGATTCGAACCAGGATCTCTAGTGGCACCACTGCGCCACTCGGGAGGTTAGACTTAGTACTTGGTGGCAAAACTCTTGTTGGCAATCACAGGGGTCAGACGTTTCTTGTAGTTGGCCACCAGGTTTGCACACATCTCAGGAGGGATTTTGTCCCACTCTTTGCAGATCTTCTCCAAGTCAATAAGGTTTCGAGGCTGATGTTTGGCAACTCGAACCTTCAGCTCCCTCCATAGATTTTCTATGGGATTAAGGTCTGGAGACTGGCTAGGCTACTCCAGACCTTAATGTGCTTCTTCTTGAGCCACTCCTTTGTTGCCTTGGCCGTGTGTTTTGGGTCATTGTCATGCTGGAATACCCATCCACGACCCATTTTCAATGCCCTGGCTGAGGGAAGGAGGTGCTCACCCAAGATTTGAAGGTACATGGCCCTGTCCATCGTCCCTTTGATGCGGTGAAGTTGTCCTGTCGCCTTAGCAGAAAAACACCCCCAAAGCATAATGTTTCCACCTCCATGTTTGACGGTGGGGATGGTGTTCTTGGGGTCATAGGCAGCATTCCTCCTCCTCCAAACACATCGAGTTGAGTTGATGCCAAAGAGCTCGATTTTGGTCTCATCTGACCACAACACTTTCACCCAGTTCTCCTCTGAATCATTCAGATGTTCATTGGCAAACTTCAGACGGGCATGTATATGTGCTTTCTTGAGCAAGGGGACCTTGTGGGCGCTGCAGGATTTCAGTCCTTCACGGCGTAGTGTGTTACCAATTGTTTTCTTGGTGACTATGGTCCCAGCTGCCTTGAGATCATTGACAAGATCCTCCTGTGTAGTTCTGGGCTGATTCCTCACCGTTCTCATGATTGCAACTCCATGAGGTGAGATCTTGCATGGAGCCCCAGGCCGAGGGAGATTGACAGTTCATTTGTGTTTCTTCCATTTGTGAATAATCGCACCAACTGTTGTCACCTTCTCACCAAGCTGTTTGGCGATGGTCTTGTAGCCCATTCCAGCATTGTGTAGATATACAATCTTGTCACTGACATCCTTGGAGAGCTCTTTGGTCTTGGCCATGGTGGAGAGTTTGGAATCTGATTGATTGATTGCTTCTGTGGACAGGTGTCTTTTATACGGGTAACAAACTGAGATTAGGAGCACTCCCTTTAAGAGTGTGCTCCTAATCTCAGCTCGTTACCTGTATAAAAGACACCTGGGAGCCAGAAATCTTTCTGATTGAGAGGGGGTCAAATACTTATTTCCCTCATTAAAATGCAAATCAATTTATAAAATTTTTGACATGCGTTTTTCTGGATTTTTGTTTTGTTATTCTGTCTCTCACTGTTCAAATAATCCTACCATTAAAATTATAGACTGATCATTTCTTTGTCAGTGGGCAAACGTACAAAATCAGCAGGGGATCAAATACTTTTTTCCCTCACTGTATGTTTCATCTAATTGTCAAACAATCACTTCAAAAGGCTCTCCTGTTGTCTACCTGCACACGTTTGTCCACTCACTAAATAATTCCAGCATCCAAACAGTGCACTGTGCACCCGCAATTTGATGAATGGAAAGAGACCTATGTTAAAAAACCTAAACGTGTAATGACATTCAGCGATTGTCATTAGGCACACTACACTTTTCGCCTGAATTGATGCGTCCACTACTGTATGCCCGCTTCTCTGTCTGGGCCACATATCTCTGCCTTGTAAACATTTTAGTGTTCTTGTCGAATGACGATGCAATTTGGAGAGTATACTGCACATTTTGAAGTCAATTTGCTCATTTTCATGCAGCTGACATGCGGTAATGTTAAATAATGGTGTAATTGCCTATGGTTTTCTTGCTATTTTGTTTTAATTATTGTGATAGGCTCATGTTTTACCGGTACAGCGTACCCCAACTATTTATTTTGCTGGGACACTCACCCCTGAGTGTACCTTACATTAGCATTGCTGAACATAACACATGACATTTGAATTCTAAACTCGTTCATTGGTGCTCCCTGTGTAGTAATATCCAAAATCTGCCACGACACGAGGTTCCAGCTTTGGCATGTTTACTTACAGTGGGGGAAAAAAGTATTTAGTCAGCCACCAATTGTGCAAGTTCTCCCACTTAAAAAGATGAGAGAGGCCTGTAATTTTCATCATAGGTACACGTCAACTATGACAGACAAATTGAGAATTTTTTTTCCAGAAAATCACATTGTAGGATTTTTTATGAATTTATTTGCAAATTATGGTGGAAAATAAGTATTTGGTCACCTACAAACAAGCAAGATTTCTGGCTCTCACAGACCTGTAACTTCTTCTTTAAGAGGCTCCTCTGTCCTCCACTCGTTACCTGTATTAATGGCACCTGTTTGAACTTGTTATCAGTATAAATGACACCTGTCCACAACCTCAAACAGTCACACTCCAAACTCCACTATGGCCAAGACCAAAGAGCTGTCAAAGGACACCAGAAACAAAATTGTAGACCTGCACCAGGCTGGGAACACTGAATCTGCAATAGGTAAGCAGCTTGGTTTGAAGAAATCAACTGTGGGAGCAATTATTAGGAAATGGAAGACATACAAGACCACTGATAATCTCCCTCGATCTGGGGCTCCACGCAAGATCTCACCCCGTGGGGTCAAAATGATCAAAAGAACGGTGAGCAAAAATCCCAGAACCACACGGGGGGACCTAGTGAATGACCTGCAGAGAGCTGGGACCAAAGTAACAAAGCCTACCATCAGTAACACACTACGCCGCCAGGGACTCAAATCCTGCAGTGCCAGACGTGTCACCCTGCTTAAGCCAGTACATGTCCAGGCCCGTCTGAAGTTTGCTAGAGTGCATTTGAATGATCCAGAAGAGGATTGGGAGAATGTCATATGGTCAGATGAAACCAAAATAGAACTTTTTGGTAAAAACTCAACTCGTCGTGTTTGGAGGACAAAGAATGCTGAGTTGCATCCAAAGAACACCATACCTACTGTGAAGCATGGGGGTGGAAACATCATGCTTTGGGGCTGTTTTTCTGCAAAGGGACCAGGACGACTGATCCGTGTCAAGGAAAGAATGAATGGGGCCATGTATCGTGAGATTTTGAGTGAAAACCTCCTTCCATCAGCAAGGGCATTGAAGATGAAACGTGGCTGGGTCTTTCAGCATGACAATGATCCCAAACACACCGCCCGGGCAACGAAGGAGTGGCTTCGTAAGAAGCATTTCAAGGTCCTGGAGTGGCCTAGCCAGTCTCCAGATCTCAACCCCATAGAAAATCTTTGGAGGGAGTTGAAAGTCTGTGTTGCCCAGCGACAGCCCCAAAACATCACTGCTCTAGAGGAGATCTGCATGGAGGAATGGGCCAAAATACCAGCAACAGTGTGTGAAAACCTTGTGAAGACTTACAGAAAACGTTTGACCTGTGTCATTGCCAACAAAGGGTATATAACACATTATTGAGAAACTTTTGTTATTGACCAAATACTTATTTTCCACCATAATTTGCAAATAAATTCATTAAAAATCCTACAATGTGATTTTCTGGATTTCTTTTTCTCATTTTGTCTGTCATAGTTGACGTGTACCTATGATGAAAATTACAGGCCTCTCTCATCTTTTTAAGTGGGAGAACTTGCACAATTGGTGGCTGACTAAATACTTTTTTTCCCCACTGTAGCTTAGTCTGTGCATTTTGCAGTTATACATAACTATGGATGCCCACAAGGGACATCCTACTACTTCTTCCACTCTCCGATGAACAAGAAGTCAACATGCAATTTGAGGACAAGTATTCTTTAACAATGCTACTTCACATCCAGAAACCGTATTAATGCATGAAATTACACAGTCTGAACTCTTGGATAGTCTCTCTTCTTGCTGGGTATAGGTCACCCCAACAA